GTTGCGGCCCTATGCTCCACTAGGAGTTTACAGGAATATTAAAAAAAAAAAAAAGGTTACACTAGTCTATCATTTAAAATTTGGAATGGCTATATGCAGTTCGCCTCTGTGTAGTTTTGCGCAAAATTCTGAATCAAACAAATGCAACTGAATTATCTAAAACGCAAAACAAACTGTCAAGTTCACAAATTTTGGAAACTGTATTCAATTTCCATTCATTTAGAAAAACGTATCTTCGTTAATATTTTGACCAGATTCAGCTATTACAGAAAGCTAACTATCGTGTGTGGCCTGTCTTTGGATTTGTATCAAAGTACAGTTAATAAAATTGTGACAGTATTAGGTATTTAAAAACAAATAATGTAATTTCAAAAGTATTCCCGTTACTAACACCACACAAATACAACGGTGATGTGGAATTATTAGGATTATAAAAGCGTTGTATAAGAATGCCCCGATTCTATTTAACAATGCCCCGAATCCCCATTTGGTGTGTTGAAAAATTAGGATAGAAAACATGATCGATATCGTACTAAAACGCTGAAAATTATCGCGCGTATTGGCTCGAGCCCCGAACTTTTTAACCACCTAGCGACGCGTCTGTTAAACTGTGATTTTTTTTTTTTTTTTTTTCACTATCAAACACGTGTTTTTACAGGTATTTGAATAATGCTGAGTTTGGAAAAAAAATCGGAAACGTCAATAGGGTTAGTTCTTGTGATACGAATTTGCCTTTCAGTGATGATTAAATTTAATGACGTAGTAGTTATTTTCCAAGCAAATGAATTAGTGTAGTCTTAGTATTTTTATTTTTGTATGCTAGGGGCTTTCAAGCTTTACGACGTGGATAACGATGGCTCTATAACTAGAGAAGAAATGTACAATATTGTTGATGCTATCTATCAGATGCTGGTAAGCAACCAAGTTATTATTATTATTGCCTAAATACTCATTAAAGCCAGTATTCATATGTTAAAGTCTGCCTGTTACAAAATTCTGGTAAGCGACAATATTCAGATTTCTACAGTATTTTGGTAAGTTATAAAGCCACAAACGCAAGCGAATGTTTGGAGTAAAAGTATAAAGATTTATTAACAAGAGGAACCCAAATTGATATGGTTTTTATTAGTGCTGTAGTAACGATTATTCATGCACGTATGGATGTAGCCCGAGGCAGATAAAGTGGAATTATCTGTTTACTTTGTTACTACTATAGTAACAATTCAGTTAATTGTGTCTGTGTTTAAACTATTCGTCTCTTTACTTTAAAACCTTATTTTTTATCTCTGACCGTATGAATACAAAGAAACTGACTTATCAGTGTGTTTAACTCTTCATTTTCGGTCAACATAACCATTTTGTGTTTCTATCTTCATGCTAGATTTTATCTGCTCTTAAATAGATAACCCCGCTTTATCAGCATTAAACTACTGTTATAGGTAATTGAATAATTGTCACTACATCTCTAATAAAGTAAATAGATAGGTGATTTAACTTTATCAAAGTTAGACTACAAATATGTCTAGATTTAAAAAAAACCTTTAACTATAGTAGCAGTAAAACACACGGCTAGAAAGTTTATTAACCTTAAAGAGTCTCTTCTTCTATTAACATTTTCTTTTATCAGTTATATTAAATTTACTTCCCTCCAGTGGCTCGGCGATAAGTCTGCTGATTTATAACGCTACAAATCGAGATTCTATACCCGTGGTGGGGACAACCTATTGTGTAACTTTATGCTTAACTAAAAAAACAAGCAAAATTAGATTTACCCATTTTAAAACTTTATAGTTGAAATACCATTCATTCATATTGCGGTGTTATTTCGGAGTAAATGTCAAGTAACATAAAACTTCGACTTTTCCTATAGGGGAACAAGGATAAGGAAGATGGTGACGAAGAAACTCCAAAAGAAAGGGTAGATAAAATATTTGAACAACTGGATAAGGTGAGATTAGGAAAAAAGCTTAACATTTGTGTTTGTATGTGTGTCTATATTAAAGAGCGGGTTCCAGTAAATCTATATTTTGAAAGTAGTCCAATGTTTTTGTGTGACTGATCTATAATCAAACAGAAACACACGTGTATGTTTTCCTTAGAATGTGTTAAAACAGGAGCTTTGAGAAAATGATGGTTCTTCGCTGTAACACTAAACAAAACCTATAACAAAGGCCTGATAAATTAGCAAGTATTCTTTGGTAAAATATTGGAAACCTATTTTAGTCCTAATAGTGTAGCGATCTTATGAGTGGCTCAAGTCAGAAAATTAGTTGTTTGCCAAAGAAATTAGCCAGAAAATTCTATACAAAAATCCTATATTTTTCTGGCTGGTGGGCCGATAAAAACCTTATTTTTCATGTTACAGCCGTTTATTATCATTATTAAATACGAATTGGGAAGCCTAAGAGAGCAGCAGATTTATTATTTTAGGATCACTTATTTTATGTTGCTTTACTAATAATATAGATGTTTTTAAACACATCTGAATCAATTCTCTTATTCTTTCTTCCAGAACAATGACAACCAACTGACTATTGACGAATTCAGGGAAGGATCGAAAAGGGACCCCAAAATTGTTCAGGCTCTTTCGCTTTATGCACCTTAGCGCCATCTGGTGTAAAAGTATTGAAATTGCATAACATAATATCATTATTATTATTAATATTATTATATGCCATCTGCCTGAAGAGAAAAAAAATACTGATATTAAACTCCTAAAATAAAAATCGCTGATTGATTCAGATAATCTAATAATAAAAATATTTGTAGTCTTTTTGTACCTTAATAATCCAAGATTTAAAAGATTATTGTAAAGTTACAAAATTGTTAAAAACATGTTCGTGGTAATAGTAATAAGACTATTTATATCTTATTTGAAGTTCTTAATGAATAACCCACCTTTTGTATTTGTAAATATTTATCCTCCATCAATCACCCTGAAACGTCAAAAAAAGTTTCACATTCTCAACTTACAAAATGTATTATTGTTCGTGGTATGCATTTTTCATTAGCTACTAATAGAAATGGATATTTTCAAAGATTCCTAAACTTTGATGTTTGTATTTTATTTATTCCTTTTTTTTTCAGTACTAAACTATAGTCTAGTCAGATTTAGTCGAGACCAGTTGCGCATTGTGCAGAAGAACTTATTACAACAATACTTTCAACTATTGTAGCATCAGTAACTAGAGCTACAAACAAATTCAAATTAGTTTTAATAGACTGACACCGGGATTCGCTTATAGGCGGGCTAACTAACGTATTTATTGTATATTGTTTCATTCAGCACATTACTGTAACGTTAAGATTGTTGAAAAAAAATCACTAAGTTAAAACTTGTATTCGCAGTTAATGGTTACGTACTTCTATCTTCGTGTATATTTTCATAGTGAAAAAAAAATAGTTTAGAGTGTTAAACATTTGATAATATTGATTTCTTGTGCTTTCACTTTGTTATTCAATTTACACATCATTATGTTCAAGAAATAAAGATTGATTAAAACGTATCAAGAAAGCTGTGTAATGCAAGATTAAAGTTATGAAAAGAAATGGCTAAATACAAGATACCTAGATTATTATTTATTTATCACAACACATTTCATACATCGCATTTGATCCCCAGACTTGTAAAACAATACCACCACCACCACCACCACCAGATAAATGGGAATGGCAATAAAATGTACCTTCAATTCAGTATATGATGATAAAGTACTTTGTTTTTAAAGAACTATAATTATCCCTAAAAAATCTATTTCAGACTTATTGCAATAGGACATTCAAAGAAATATGTCAGCATGATGTTTTAGTGGAAACGCTTGATTGAATATCGGATAAACGAAATACCTTAAAACCAATTCTAATTACATTATAGTTGGTTTTTGTATAGAACTCAACTTAAGTAAAATAATATATATATATATATATATATATAAATGATAAAGGAATTAAAAAGTATGTTTTTATTCTTTCGAAGAGAGCAGATTTAACAAACAGTTGAATAAAAAAAAACAACAAAAATTTTAATGCTTCAAAAAAATTTCGGCCATTTTATAATAATTGTGATAACTCAAAAACAAAACTCAACTATCGGTGTAAAGTTGTAACTAAGCTCATTGTCTTGATATCTGTAGAACCACTATGTTAACCAAATCCAGGATAAATCTTCATCTAATATTGGTTGTAGTTTATTTTAAAATAAACAAAAAATGTGCACTTGAAAAAGTAATGTATATTTTGATTGATCTTGCGCATTGCAGTTTTTTTTTAAATATTAAAATCATGAAATCATTATCAAAAAGGTATTGTACCTATACAACACAAGTAATTTAACCGAAGTTTTTAAACTGAGATAAGGGAAATTTCTAGACTTTAAAATGATAACATTTTTGTTTTTCGTGTAATTTTCTATGATTGTCGCAGATTTTGAAAATAAACAGAATTCGATAAACAGTATTTCACTTAATATAAGAAGTTTATTTATTACGTGTTATATCATTACAGGATTAAATACAAAATAATTCGTCGATGATTCAAAGTTGTAAGAAAAAAAAAAGTGAGTTGTTTTACTGAAATGTGTTATACTCAAAGGATGTAGACCAATAAAGCGTTTTATATACAAATTATTTCACTATTCAAATTTTAAGTATAAGATATTCAAGTTTTCCTCAATGATGGTGTTACATATTACAAACGTATTGGAGATGAGAAAAAAGTTACGTTAAACGTGACAAGTGTTCCTTTCGTTATATTTTAATATAAGTTAAACAATTTTAAATTCTTAAATGTTCATGAAAATGAATGGGCCAAGCGTGGCCCACTGGTTAGCACGCCGGACCGTGAAGCTGAAGATCTGTGGTTCTCTTATCATTATCGGGAAAAAAACAAACTTGTCCTGCTGTTTAGAGTCGCCATAACACTGACAGTCAAATCTCTCTATTCAGTCTGACAAGAGTTGAGGATAGATAGTTATCTTCCTTCCCCTCGGCCTATCGCTTCAAAATTAGAAACAGCTAATGCAGCTTTGCACGAAGTAAAAAAAAACAATCTGCATCTTTGTGTTAAATTACATTGAAAACGAAACTATGTGAAAAAAGTAATTATTTCACGATAACTATAACGGACCATTCGATTATGAATAAAAACTCGCGCGTCCTAAGATTTCCAACTGTAGTTTTAAGTACGATAAATTAACAATATTTACTAGGCAATCGTATAAATCTGAGGCTCAAACGAATTGGATAAATTTTTACTAGCTACAAATTAAAAGTGTAGATTAGTAAAATGCACCTTCAGAGTAAATACTAAACCTACGCAAGTTCAAACTGTCAACTGTAGCAGTACTCCAATGGCAACACGCAAAATTCGATTTTTTTTAGTAACATTTCGTAATGTTTTTACCGATTTTATTAACGTGATTTATGGAAAAAATCGGTAACTATTGAACAAAGAGAAAATCGCGAAAATATTAACAGCTAAAATTTTAGTAAAACGCGTATCTCATACGGAGAAGCTTCATCGAATTTTAGACTTGTAAGTCCGTAAACTTACCATTGACCCATTAGAGAACACACGGAATGCATATATATGCTTAGCACTAAGCCCAGTAGTGCTTAGCAAGTAGGGATGGGCAAAAATAAAAAAAATGGCTGCCGAATTCAATCTATTACTCTGTGATGCTTACAAATAACTGCTAAAGTTGAGTTATAGTCTTATTTGAGCACCTAATTGCCATTATCGAGTGTTTCGCAGCTTGTGAGACTTGCAGTATCATTGAAAAGTGTCGCTGAAGTGAAGAACTGGGAGCTAATTAAAGTGTTCATCTTTCTTTTTTTTTTCCACGCTAACCAAAAATAAAAAATGAGGAAGTTTTTAGTACGACAAAAAATAATCTTAAGAGCACTTGGGAACAGGCTATCACTAAGCATGGTACTGCTTAATATAAGCTGCAAATTAATTTAGTGTAAACGATACTATCATTATCCCTTGAAGTTAGCTTTCTTACAGAATTTGGGTGAAACAGGAATTACCAACCAATAAAAGATGAGCATTAGATGACTGTAACGTAAAATACTCGATGCATTATACCCTATACAATCGGTATCTTCAGGGATCCAACCCCTATATCATGTGTGAAGTGAAGGTGTAAAAGAAAAATACACATAATATAAAATTTTATTACACACATTCATAGAATATACTGACTTTTAGTCAAGGGGAAAAAACGTCGCAAAACAAGTAATGATAAAACATTTTGAAAAATGCAAAATGATATAGGGGTGACAGTGCCAAAAAGAATGCAAACACGAATATAGTGATGATACAACTATACATTTATCATATGTTTTTCATTACTGTAGATTCCTCAAGATTTAGCCTCAAGATTATGACCATCCATGATTAATAATCTATTGTAGCCAATTGTTGCGTCAGCGAGGTCACGTGACTAGTATCACGCCACTTCTTTCTCGAACCTTCGTGAATTGTCGGAATATTACTAGACTGGGGGTAGTCTGGTATATATAGGATGGTCACAACGTGACGGGACAATGTGTAGGTAATGAGTAATTGAACTGCAGTCAGAGAGTGTGTAACTGAGTATTGTCGACCACGAGCACTTGAGACGTTCTAGCGTTTGTTATAGAGCGACTGTTGAAATTAAATGTATCGGTAAAGTTGTATTCGGAAAGAATAAATCAGTTTTATTTAAGAAAGGACTTGTGTCACCAAAGTTTTGTCGGAACGAATTTACGGAAAATTAACTAACGAACAGAGACGTAACAGTATAATATCAATATCTGAGGTCATTTTAGAAGCGCATTGAAGAAACTGACAAAAATGATATGATATTAACAATACATATTACCAAATGTTCACTTATCAACCTACTTCAATGAATTGTTTTACAAAAAAGGGGAAACAAGTAATACAAAAATTGCAAAAATTAAGTATGATGTAGGGATGGCAATGCCAAAAATTACAGAAACAACATAAGGGTGAATACACAAAACCATACAATAATCACTACTTAAGTAGCCAAATCTTTCCAAGAATAGCTTTTATCTTCAACTAAATGTTGAATTCCTGTCACTTGCGTGAATTCAGGTTTGAATAAAAGCGTTTAACAGTGAATAGTGCTATATAGTCTTACAGTGGCTAATAACCATAAGCTTGTAAGATTGATACAGTACTTATTGGCTACTTATGTAGGGATTTTTGTA